GGCTAGATTTAGTGGAATAGTGTAACTAATATAAAAATAAGCGCGGAAATCAGATATGAAAATTGTTTTAAAGAATTAATAAAAAAAAATGTAATAAAGGGTACGGACCTCGTGTCTGTAGTGTATAATTATTAGGGAGGAGGTTTTAGTCCGTAGGTCACTGGGCACACTTCCCAGTGAAGTCGGGCATGCCATCTGGTCCTGACCTTTGGTATCCATGAGGATTTCCTCCTTCCTTTGGAAAAAAAAAGAAACTTAACCTAACCCACCCCCTAACCCAACCCTAACCACCCCTAACCCACCCCCTAACACGACCCCTTAGAAACCCCCTAACCCAACTCTCCCTAACTCACCCCTAAAACCCCCAACCCAAACCCTAACCCACCCCCAAACTCACCCCCTAACCCACCACTAATCCACAATCTACCACGGATCTTGGCGATCTAAAGCTCTAAAGTGGCACCGCAATGCGCAAGTGTCAGAGACAGGCGTGTAGCTTTCCACCAGACGCGCGGCATGTTCGTCCCGGCAATTGATATTATAAAAAAATATATAGGCCATAGAAATGTTTCTCCCGGCTCGGGAATCGAACCCGGGACCTCTGCGTGGCAGTCCAGCCTGATAACCGTTCGGCCACGGGGGCAATTATTGAATCCAAAGTTATATTTTAAATGCGAAAGTAACCCTGTGTGTTATGTTTTCACACTTAAACCGCTGAACCAAATTTTATGAATTTTGACATAGAGATTGATTGGATATAGGACATACGCTACTTTTTGCCATAAACATAAATTTTAAAGGTGGGGTTTTAATGGGGATGAAAATTTGTATGGAGAACCAATCATTTCTCAAATAAATAGTACAGTAGGCTATTCGAAAGCTACTTATTCTACGCATACGAAGTCACGGGCACCGACTAGTACATGATAAATAACTTACGGCAGGATTATACTTATAAATGGTATTATTCTTTGTAACACCGTGGTGTATACAGGGACACAGTGAGTCCAACGAACAACAGCTGTAAGGAACGTTATCCGCTACGAACTTATGCGGAAATCTGCAAGAAAAATAACCATAAAATGGAAGGAAGCAAACCGATAAGTTTTAAAGTTGAGAATTGAGTGTCACATTACAAAATACTTAATAATAATAATTATTATTATTTATTTCAGAAAACATTTCGCACCTTTACAATGAAAGTGACTCAATACAAAATTTGAACTTTTTAGGAATACGCAAAATAAGATTTGAAGTAAGTACTAAAGTTTGTGCCTTGAAAAATAATGATGAAACATTCAGCTTTACAATTGCAAACATTGTTTATGATTATTTTTAACCAACTTCAAAAAAAGGAGGTTCTCAATTCGTCTGTTTTATTGGTTTTTTTTTGTATGTATGTTACGCGATAACTCCGCCATTTGTGAACCGATGTTTAAGGTTCTTTTTTTGTTGGAAAGAGTCAGGTACCTCAGAAGTAGTCCCATTTAAATTTGATGAAAATATTCCACCTCTAAGGGTTGCCACCCTTACGGAATGAATGACTTTTGAGGAGGAATTTCGGAGAGGTTCAACCCTCCTGGCTCGCCCCGCACTCCAACCAATACTCGTCAGAAACAGCCATCTCACACTATTCTTCTGGTGGTTATACCAGTACCTTAAAAGGGACGTGATCTCACTAGGCAAAGTTGTCTGCCGTACTATCTTGTCCCACGGCATCGTACGATACCAGATCGAAAGCCTTCGACAAATCGAGGTAGCAAGCAAAGACCGGCTTCTTCCAGCTGCGTAGTACTGGACCGTGCGCTTCGGGCAGAGGATAGCACTCTCCGTGGACAACCCTGGCCTAAAGCCAAACTGCGCATCATTTAAACGGAGGTGCCTATCCAAGTGACCATTCAGCACACTATCCAGCACCTTGGCTACAATGGTTGCTAATGAAATTGGCCTATAATTGGATAGTTCAGATGAATTACCGGCCGTATTTTTTACAATAGGCACCACAACTGTATGCATGAGATCGGCTGGTAAATAACAAGTGGTTAATGCATAGTGTGTAGAACATCGCAATTATCCTGTTTTCAGGATATTGTATGATCGGATACAGCAGTACATCCTATCGTATAACAAATTAGCACATTCTTTCAGACAATATCCTCATAGATATCTTTAGGTGTATCGTATGTTTTTCGTGAGACCGTTATTTAAACAGTTTTTCCCGCTTCTCCTCTGGTAACTCGCCTTAACGTCTCTATCCTGAAAAGTTGTCATTTTGGAGATATGGCCTTATTACACCAAAGGTACCTGCGGAATGACTCGAGATGTAACTAATGTTTCTGTTTTTAAACAACGAAAATTTTACACGAACACGGATTTTACACGAAGTTGCATAAGCCAAAAATAATTTCCAGAAAAACTCACAATTTGTTCGTATCGACTTTTTCTCTAGTAGTATACCAAGGGATGTAGAACCACTCCTGGTAGGAGACCCGTCCACAGCAATGGAACCTCGTCTGCAGCCGATCGATCGCCACTTTTGACGGCAGGTGGCTAGAATAGCGCAGCATCGCTTTTGTTATACCACCCTTTATTTTTGCTGGAAAAATGCATCCAATACAACACCAAAACAAATTTCTATATCTACCCGCATTATTCGTGCCTATGATTACCAAAATCGTCTCCTGGAGGAGAATGAGGAGGTCGCGGTTTGATTCCCTTCTAAATTGATTCTAGTCTGAGTATTCTAGGTGCCTTGGAGTGAATTCGGTTGCTCTTATGAGTATAACACAGAGAATTCTGTAATTTGAGATCCTGTATACCCATTCGTTCTGTTGTACAGTTCTGTTGATAGTGGTATTTTTCTTTTCCAATTTGTTCTGTTAATATAACAAATGTACTTTTCCTAGTAGTTCTGTCGAACTGATACCTATTACTTAATATTAGCATAACTGAAGACTCCATAGAGTATTTGATACCAGGTGGTTAGTGTACGTGTCTGGCACATTATTATTATCTTATTATTCGTTATACGCCTCATTGCTGGGCATGTCGCCTCCAACGAGAGGTTTTAGGCCATGTTCACCACTCTGATCCAATACGGGTCGGTGATTTGAAACGTTTGCTTGCGGGTTGTGAACCTTCTTTGACGTGCAGGTATCACGATGATTTCCTTCATTATTAGCGACAGGTATGGCTAGTACGAAACTTAGAAACTAAAGGCACAGGTTCATGCCACTACAAGGATTCGAACCGCCAACCTGTCAATTAAGAAAAACCGTTCACTCACACGTCATACCACCGCTTATAACCAGACATTTGTTTATTCTAGACACTTTATTAATTTATAGAACATTTATTTACTACAAATATGGTCAGTAAAGATGTAGTTCCAGGCTCTTCAATAGAGACTTGTTGGATACAACAGCGTAAGATAAATACATCTTTACTGTCTCAAAATTTTCATATAAAGTTATAAAAGATATCGACACCATAACATAACGCAACAAGTACTGTAAGTCCCGCCTGTAGGGTTGTCACATTTTTATTTTATATTTACATAAGCTACAGGTTGCAAAACATATTTTTTTAAGTGAAGATGATAATAACAATATTTTCGAGCTATAATAGAAATATTGATATTTTTATACGACCATATCACAGATTAGTATTTCGACGGTTATGGGAGTATGAAATAGAAACGAAATGCGAGTTTGCATAGGTGTACATAACGACACATTTATAAATAAAAACAATACATTTTACACAGAAAAATATTGTAAACACCGAGTAAACGATTCAATTCTATATAATGAATGGCACGTGCGAACCGGCTTGGTTATACGCCGCGCTGGCGTTGCGTGTGCATGCGTTGGCAAGACGTTGACGCTCGACTCTAGTGTCGGGGGCCTCTTATAAACAGCGTGCGGTGAGCGTGCACACATACTAGCTGCGCTGCTTCGTTTAAGTGGAGTCACAGTACTTGTCTTATTATATTATGTCGATACTTCTTGATTTGCCGTCAACAAATTGGTTGTTGAATTTAGTTTTACCACTTTTTATAAGGTATCTAGCCACATACACTACTTCTTCAACAACAAAAGCGTCTCTTAACGTACGTTTTAGGTGTATTTTATAAATACAAATACACCTAAAACTGAAATACTTTACCAGACTCACCTCTAATTATAGTTGATTGTAGGCCAGAATAAAACATGATCGCTAGGAATATGATTATCATGATAATAAGCGCCCAGACGTAATAGAATAGGCCGTTTGTCACATTGTACTCTCGCTTTGGTAAACCAGCTTTGAACAGTTGGTACAGACCGTAGGTCTGTGAAAAAGTTTGACAAAACTAATGTTAGCTTTTTTATTTATTTTTTTCATCATTAAGTAATTATAGTCATTTTCAGACAAATTCGTTCACTAATGAAGACAAGTCACCCTAATAAAACCCCAGAACGTAAAGAAATGGACTATCTGACGTAAGAGCTCCCTTTGTACTTGTGTAACAATTAGTGCCACACCTGCCGAGATTCAAAAGCTTAATTTCGATGTTTTTAACTTCTTTCAACCGTTACAGTCTATAAATATATATATGGTGGGGTCGGGCTCAGCCTGCGTCGACGAAACTACCCAAGGTGTGGATAAACATTTGTTAGAAGACTTTGAGCTAAGACGCATACTTTCGCCGGGCAGCTGGGGTCCTACCTGATGCGGAGCACTTTCCGAAGATTACGGTACCTTTTGATACTCACCAAACACGTCTGACCATAATTCTCCTACATAAATTTTACCCACCCGGGAGAAAAATGACGCCAAAGCAGAAAATTCACATGTATGGCGGCCATCTTGGATAATGGCAAAATCGAACTTTTGATCGCAGATTTGTATTGCACACTCTCATTCACGGCAGCATGCCAAATTTGAGCCAGATCGGAGCACATTTTTTTGGGCCCCCATTTTGAGTCGGCCATCTTGAAAAAATTTTTGCACCGGCAGTTGACCCCCACCGCCCGCTATGACATTTGGTCGAGGACCCCCTGCCCATCTCCAATACTCGCCGAGCTATAGGGCTCTGAAATTTGTATGGCGTCCATCTTGTTCATTCGAATTTTGAATTTTTTTCACTTCCGGTAGAAACTGACCAAGATGGCGGCCATTTTTACTTTGACGACCCTGTCGGTAGGTGTTATACTTTAGCCGTGCAGCCGGGGTCCCACCTGATGCAGTCCATATTCCTATATCACTCCCGTATATCATTTTCACCCACAGCGACTCCTTCTGGGAGAACCATCATCTAAATGACTGGATCACTCCATCAGTGGTAATCGAGCTATTTATAGTATAATAATAATAACTCTTTGGAGAAACCGAAGGTTTAGTCTGTGCAATACAGGATCAGGTTATCAAGACGCGGAACTATCGGAAATATATCCTAAAGGACGGCACAGTTAGACATTTGTCGGGCATGTGGCCGTCCCGGAGAGTCACTTAGGCATATTGTTTCCGGTTGTTCCGCTCTTGCTAACACTGAGTACTTGCACAGACACAACCAGGCAGCCAAAATATTACACCAAGAACTCGCTCTGAAGCACGGACTAGTGCAACAGAGGTTGCCATATTACAAGTATTCACCGGAGCCAATACTCGAAAATGACCGCACCAAAATCCATTGGGATCGATCCATTATCACGGACAGGACTATTCTTGCGAATAAGCCTGATATTGTGATACTGGATCGATCGCAGTCGAGGGTATTTCTTGTGGACGTCATCATCCCGCATGACGAGAGTCTCGTGAAAGCTGAAATCGAGAAACGCCGGAAGTATTTCGACCTGGCGCACGAGATCACCGACATGTGGGATGTGGCCCCCACTGAAATAATCCCAATTGTTCTTTGTCCGCAAATGGGTTAATTCCAGTCAGCCTTTCTAACAGCTTGAGGCGGTTGGATTTCTGTGGCGTGTCGCTTCCAGCACAAATGCAGAAGGCGGTCCTGCTCGATACGGCACGTATTGTTCGCCGGTTCTTGAACCTGAGTCCCTGACCCCGGCCGACTCTGCCATTGCCGGGAAATACCGCCTCTCCCATTTAAAAATTGTAGCTGTGGTGTTTGAACAAGTGTTGTTGTACTACTTATCTTATTATACTATGGTCTTACTCTGTTACGTCCTAAACATATCCTAAACATCTACTATACATAATATATATCCTATACATGCATACTTCGATAACAACAGCAATAATAGAAGCACAAGTGATAATAACTGGTATTGCATTTCCATCTGGCCAACACACGAGGTCGAGTAAAGTACCCTCTTCACTGCGAATGCTTTCCGACGTATTCACCAGCCAGATTAAGTAGAATATCACAACAGGCATAAATGCCATGAGTAGGAGCCTTATGTTATTGAACGAAGGCCATGTTAGGTACATTATAGAGGAGCTTAATAGGGAAATTAGACAATGTTCCAGTACGCTTGTTTAGGTTTTAGTGGCATATTAAGCTTCAGAGTATAGAAGAAAACTTATTTTCTTAATGGCAGACACTTAGGTTTATCTATGCGTAAATAAATAGTTGTCAATGTCAAGAGAAAAAGAAAAAGTCAATTTACAGAAATATTTTAGTCATAAAGGCGAATAAAGATATACGTAAAATGCAAAGTTTTTACAGCATTTTTTTTTAAATAAGGGCGCCTTCAAGTTAGAGACTTGTAGAAGCACTGCTGTGGCGCTGCAGCATCGCGTCTGTACCACTACTAATTTTCGTACAGTATCTAGTCCACAGAACACTATACTCACAAGGATCTAGTCTGCACAAGAGCGCGCGCGTGGTGCCACTGTGGCGCTACGGCTGCGGTTCTAATATTGTATGAGAGTTAGCAGTGGCGCAGCTCCAGCGCTTCTTATGCGTCTAATTTGAAGGCGCTCTAAACGCCAAAATGATAATGAGAAACAATCAACCACAGTTCAATGGTTTTAAGATTTCAATTGTTTTTAGGGTAAATTTACATTGCCAATGGAATGGAATTGAAATAAATTGACGTAACCTCAACAGTTCGTGGAATTATATCTCTTTGCCAAGTTTTATTGAAATCGGTAACCGGAAAGTGCGCGAAACAAACAAACAAACAAACAAATTTAAATTGTCCCATGATAAGGTCTAAGTAAGCCCTCTTCCCAACAAAAAAGAATCATCAAAATTGATTCACTGAATATTTTTTATATCACTTAACATACATACAAAAAAAAACCTAGCCGAATTGAGAACCTACTCTTTTTTTTAATCGGTTACAAATAGTACATGTCAATTGTGTAACATTCAAAACTATATTACTAGCCAAAAAACTGGTCGTTCGTCTTCCGAGAATTCTCGTACAGTCTCGGGAATTCCCGCAGCTACCATCTCGTATCTAATTTGTACGTTTTACAATTGTACGGTACATACAAAAACTTCGCTGCTATTCCATTTCGCAATGTAAATTGAGTCTTAGACGGAAACTGAAGTTTCTATCAAGTGTGTTTTAAAAAAATATCACGCTCATTTTCAGGTTTAATGTGCATGGATATAATGAAGTTGTTCTAAGGTATAATTGAACGGTACTCGTAAATGCAGTGTGGTACATAGAAAAATATCACTAATCAAACAAGACGTATTTTCTAAGTAGCAACGTTTATTTTCAAAATTAGTACCCAATATACAAACAATGGTTGCGGACACCAGCCCGTTACACCAAGTACCAAGTATACAAACAATGCTAAATAACGGTCCTTAACCTATATTAAATATTTCTGTTGAAGAAATTTTATTTTTAATTGGACATTGAAGGAGAATATCGTCGTTATACTGTGATTGGACTTTTAACAGAAAAACGCGTCATAATTGCTTATGAAAAATGCTAATACTTTCGGCAAAATATAAAATGAGAAATCATCTGTTACAAATCAAAGTGGATGACCATGGCATTTGTAAAAAATGTTCGCTAATGAAATTTCAATTGTATTTATTTCAAAGTTATTTTATGTGAAATAATTGGTTTTCCCAGTATGACGGCGACATTTTTCTTTTGTTTTACTATTCTATTTTATTGAAAAAGTTATTCTGTCGCGTAAAGGCATTGACTTACAATAAGTCAATGCGTAAAGGCGTAATATCCAATATAAATTACGATATAGATGTGATATGAAATAAGTGGTTGGATTCAATTCAATTTTTTTTTTTTTTACTTCCTATTATTATTATTTTTTATGATACCAGATGATGGGACGAGCAAGTCGTGCGCCTGGTGTTAAACGACGCGCCTGTCCGTAGCAGTTGCAGTGCCACTCAGGGCTTTAAATCGCAAAGGTCTGTGAGACACTGCACTTGTCACCCTGAGATAAGCAGACAAGTCTCTTGTGCGTGCACATCAACCAGCACTCTTACCCTTAAAACCAAAACACAGTAATGCTCATATTACTGCTTGGTGGCAGAAATAGGTAAGGTGGCACTACATCCCTGGAAGAGCTCTTTCATAAGGAGCTCTACTCCTACTAAATGTATACATGACTAGAATTAATTACTAACTATAATTCGTTCACAATAAAATATATATAAATTCTAGCTTTAAAACATTTTTTCTTAGTATGTTCATATCTTAAAACGTTATTAATATTGTAAGTTACAGTAGCATATGGTTGACGGGCTATTATAATGTGTTATACTCCATAAAATTTACTGATCGAAATTTGAACAAAATAATTGCGACGACGTAAACTTGTAGCAGCGTCCTATAAAATCATATATTTTCAAACACGACAAAACTATAAATATTTTACATATTTACGTGACTACTCATTAACACACGTTGAAGTTTATGAAAAGACACGTCGAAAATAAAGAGTCAATCAACTGTTCCAGTCGATAAATAGTTTAGCGGCAATCAGTAAAAAGAAGAAGAATAGTATGGCGGTAACGGCGGCGCAGTATACGTTCGACTGAAATTCGGTTGGGGCGCGATCCACGGATTTTTGTCATCCTAGTATGCAGAAGCTGTGTAAATAACCTTTACGGTATTTTTTTTGTTTTAATATAGTTTTAAACCTCTTAAATAGCAAATTTTGAATATCAACTTGAATCTTATTATAGGAGTGTAATGCTCCTTAAATGAATTTTTAACTTTGAGAAAGCGACTGTCAAGAACAGCCAGTTTATTTTTATTCCTCGTATTAATGGTACGTTTACTACTATTTACATATCTGCATACATGTTAATAAGACATTTAAAGTTGTAAATTTCAAATTGCAGATATATCAAGTTACCTGTGAAATGACTATGTTGCTAGTGTCTTTACAATAGTTGCTAGTAACTATAGAATAATTAATTTTTCCACATGGTAGCGTTAGCCATATTACATATGGATTACACGTGGGCCTTATATATAATGTTACATTGAAGATTGTTCTACATCTGGGACTGCAAAGTTTCATAATACGCAAGCTCTTCATCTGTGACAGAAGGCCGGAAAGCCTCCACTGCCTGGTAGAGCTCTGATACGCCCAGTATAATAGAATCGGGACTGAGCTCACTTTCTTTTACCGTACCTGAAAATGAGAAGTGTGATTTAAACAGGGTATAACATAATTTCACGTAAGGCCGTATCGATGACTAACTTGAGCCAGAAGACTTCTTCGTTACTTACTTACTCGTTAACGTTTAAATTAGCTAGGTAGTAGGTAGGTTTAAATTACTCAGAAGGCAATTTTACAAAGTAGGTAGGTAGGCAGCACCTTTTGGAATAAGGCGTATTTTAAAAATTTGAATCAACCTAGAATGTACAATAATTAAAATCAATGAAATTCAACTTGCCTACAATAAAACAAAAAAAAAAAAGATTAAAATCCTAATAACTAAGTGTATTTTAGCAATTGTTCAAAATGCAAACCATTTCTCTCTAAACAGAGTCTAGCACGTTTCTGCACATTGTCTTTCAATTTATTAAGCACTACAGTGTCTCTTTTCGGCTCAACTGTACATTACCATCGCACGAGTTGAGAGTTGAAATTAATATGGTGAATAGATTACATAGTTAGCAGTCTAATCCTAAAATATTAGCTTTAGGAAACTCGTAGTTTTGATAATAAAAATTATTGAAATATTCGAAAATAAGTGATAGGAAACAGGTTTTGTAGGTTAGACAAGCACAGCGTTTGGTTGTTGCAGTATTTTTTTTAGTTTTTTTTATTTTTTAGTTTTTTAGTTTTTTTCAGTATTTTTTGTTGCAAAAATTTTTCGCAGTATTGAATTAAACAGCACAAATTAATACGTAATTGTAAATTTAACATAGAAATTTACTATAATTCGTATGTAAGCTTTTATTTTTGAACAAATATTTTTTGTTGCAAAAAAATAACGAAACGCGAAAAGAACGCCATGTTGTTTGTTGTTGTTTACTGTGATGATTCGCTCTGGACTTTTGGAGGGAAAAGTGTCGTTTTTATTTTGACTTTCAATTATTTTGTGAATTCTAGTTTAAAGTGGAATAGGATAGTGCTATTGTGCCTTAATCGAAGATTAAAACGCGAATTTATACGAATCTCGAACTATAATACCCGTATCGGCCCGTTTTAAGGAATCCCGAGTCAATCCAAGCACGCCGCCTCAAATTGCCTATCCTCTTTGTGGCGGCCATGTTTACAGAAACATAATTAAACTTCATGTTTAGGCTGATGGCTTTGCCAAAGCCTTAATAAATAAAAAAAAAATTGTTTACTGTTTGATGTATGCATCAATTAGGATTTTGCGTTTTTGCCTGGTTTACCCCGCTCTTTGGTGCGAAAACACGATTTTTTGAGGTTATTTTTTTCGAATTTTCAAAAATTAATATCTCGAAAACTATTAACTTCCTAACTTTGAAACTTTGCACGAAGGGTCCCCTCCCCTCCCCCCTTCAACCTACCTACAACAAATAATAATTTCACCCCACAAAAAAAGTCACATGGAGTCAGGTCCGGTGAGCGCGCTGGCCACGGGACGGGGCCTCCGCGGCCAATCCAGCGGTCGCCGTGCTCAGCGCCGAGGTATTCGCGCACCGCGGCGGCGTAGTGAGGCGGGCGGGGCACCGTCTTGTTGGAAATAAAAGTCGCGCAGGTGCACGAGGGGCACCTCGTCCACAAAGTCCGTGATCACCGTACGCAACATATCCAGATACGTACCACCGGTCAAGCGTCTCTCGATAAAATACGGCCCAAGTACTTTATTGCCTACGATACCGGCCCACACGTTGGCACTAAAACGCACTTGATGATAGGTTTCCCTTATCATGTGTGGGTTTCGGAATGACCACCAGTGTTCGTTGTGCTGATTGTATAATCCGACACGCGTAAACAAAGCCTCATCGGTCCACATTATAACGGCCGTGAGTGCGCAATTAGCCACTCGCAGAAGGCTCGGCGGGGCGCAGCATCTGCATCACTTAATGCTTGCACCTTTTGGAAGTGGTAAGGGTGCAACCCTGCGGTGTTGAGCAGCTTCCAGACGGCGTACTGGCTGACCTCGAAGCGTCTCGCTGCATCTCGAGTACTTGCACGAGGGTTTCTTTCGAAAAAATCGAAGATTTCTTCCTCGATCTCTACTGGCAGTCTTTGCCTTCCACGCCCTTGTGCATGTGAAGGAGAAGTGAACTGGCCATGATCTAACAGCCTTTGATTGGCAGCGAGAATCGTGGCACGGTTCGGTATCGAAGGATTCACTACACCTTGGTTGCGAAGGCGAGGGAGGCTTTCCGCTTCGTACAGTCTTTGAGCTCCGTTCAAACTTTCGCCACTTAATAAATAACATCGCACCATTTCATAATATTCGCGGTTTGAGTACATCGCGGGGGCTGCGCTATGTATCGCAATTCGCACGAGATAACACGCTTTCGCCGGGCGGAAATGCGCGGGCGACTGCGTGACCTTTGTGCGTGACTTGTCGCCGCTCCCGGTACCCCTCCGCCCTCCCCCGCAACTAGCCCTTCCCGTCTCCGCGCCGCGCGCGCAGGTGTGTTCATTGATGTTGCCGCCTTGCGTACTAGAGAAATTTACGCTAGAAATGGTTACCACGCTTTATTGATTATTGGATCGGGAAAATTATTTTATTGTGAAAATATGACCTACATATTTTATTTCAGAAATGGGTTCTATTAACGATACCTAATGCCCAAAAAAAATTTGGATAGTGATAAAAAAATCTTCCTGTATAAGGGAACGTGGGGTATTTGGAGCCCGGGGGTAATGAAACCGATGTTAAACTGGATGCTCCAATCCCAATGCTCGTATTTGTGCAAACGGCACTCCTATATCTTCGTTAAAGTTTGACAAAGTTCACATCACCCCCGCAGAACCCCGCGTTTAGTCGTACGAGATGGTTGTGAGTTTTTCGCTCCGCGTTTATAAAAATTGTCAAATTTCATCATCCCTGGTAAGCATTAAAATGCATAGATGCGTCATTGCATTTACACTAACAATGTCACCATATCTATCAAATTTTAGGTGTTATGGTTGAAATTACAATAAAAATAGAAATGTTTTTACTGTTATATATTTATTTTTTTATTTCAATGTTACGCAGATAATCTAATATTTGGCTCTCCTTACCCCATTGCAATATCTACTGGATATTTCATATACCTTTGACGGTATATGGAATATCCCTTTAACAATTTTTTGTTTATTTTCATTAGTTTTAATTTATATATTTTATTACTACAATTTATTTATTTTTTCAGACTTTTAATTACAATGGCTCCCACTTGACATACGGGATACTCACCGGCTCCCATTTCCCTATATGTGGGGTAATGGGAGTGAATGCCATGTTTTAGTTTTTTCTTTTTAACCAAATATTATATTTTAGTTTCATATTTTTTCTGTGATTATCTAGTATTCAGATATGTGAAGCGTACGTTCATAAGTAACAAAAATTTAAATTGCATAAATTGTGAGTTTCATTATCAATTTTCCCATTCCCCACACTCCCCTATTTGTTAAACCGAGCAACGTAAATTAATTAGTTACTTTAATGAGAATGTTCTGTGTTAAATAGTCAGTCTGTAGTTTTATTAAATCAAACAACATAATGTGAACAGATACCCACCTGCATGCAACTTAGCGACTAGCGAACGCACCGATGCTGAACGAGCCGTAGACGTGATCTGCAACAAGTCAGCGCCCGTGCAGCGGTCCGGCAACGCTGCTGCCACTTTCTCCAAGTCTACCTCTGGACGTAACTTATAGCTGAAATAAGAATTTTTGGGGAAGAATGTTTACATTCAAAAATCCCTAGATTTTGAGTGTGCTATATAGCAAACTATACTACAATACCGGCACGCTATGATGGCAGTTTTGATAGATTACAATAGTGAGATTAAATCTCAATTCATTTTCATTCATTTCATTTTATTTCAGCCTGTTTGCACCTACTGCTGAGTCTAAGGGTCGTATTCTAGAACTCTACTCAATACTCAAGTTAGCACTTGAGTATTGCAGTGAACACTGAAAATCATACTCAAGCCCTTGCCATTAGGGTCGTATTTCCAGTGCTTGAAATCATACTCAAGTCTGCTCAAGTCCTGACTTGAGCATTGAGTAGAGTTCTGGAATACGACCCTAAGCCTCCTCTCTATTGCGCCATTCTTTCCGGTCCCTTGCGAGTCGTGTCCAGTGGTTTCCAACTATGGCCTTAATGTCATTAATCCAAGGGGCGGGTGGTCAGCCTCTTGGTCTTTTCGCGTCTCTTGGCCACCATTCAGTAACGGCTTTCGTCCATCTTCCATCGTCCCTTCTAGCCAAGTGCCCCGCCCACTTCCACTTAAGCTTGGCTATCCTCGTACCCGCGTCTACTACCTTTGTGCGACGTCGAATGTCTACATTGGGTACGTGGTCCAGCAGAGAAATTCCGAGCATGGCGCGCTCCATTGCCCTTTGTGTTACTCGAATCTTGTGCACATGTTCTTTCGTGAGCGTTGAGCGTGAGCGAAAAAAATATAATCAAGTGCGAGTGACATCTATAACTTTTTAGATTTATAACTACTATTGTAAAGGGTAGCTGATTAAAAAGTTTTAATAAAACGAAAATAAAAATGTTTACTTAATATATCGTCAATCGTCGAAACTGCTTTGTTTTGCATTGAGCTTTGACGCGAGTTTGCCGGAGGTAGAAGTTGTGCTAACCAGCGAATAAGTGACGATCGTATTAAATTTCATTTTTTTAAATTTCGAATTAGAAAAACAAATGCGGAGTTGTGTCGTAAAATTATACTTTCCATAAATTTAAATTCCATAAACATACTACGCGTCACTATTGACAACAAAGCTCCTTCAACGTAGTTAAAAATTAATACGAAACTTGATGAGCGGACAAGCGTCAAAACTGCCATCACAGCGTGCCGGTACTATAATAGTAACTAACACTTAGGAGTAAAGGTCATAAAAAATGTCCGATCGAAGTGGTATATATATATCCGTACCCACCACATTATATATTTTATTTTATATTATGATACGTAGTGACGAGACGAATAGTCGTGCGCCTACTGGTAAGCGACACGCCTGTCCATAACAGCTGCAGTGCCACTCACAGCTTTAGATTGATCTATTAATTTAAATTACCAATGAAGTTATGATTATTAATACAAAGATCGAACACTCAGAAAAAACACTCAGAAAAAATTCCTTCGATCCGGTCGGATTCGAACCGACGTCTTTTTTTTACATTATTGGATAGTCTTACTTTATTAGTAAGTTAATGTGTATGGAAATAATTGGTTTAAATGATGCGCTTGCATTGGTATTGGCTGGGTACGTTACGCTCCCCTCTTAATACCTATATATAATTTTGTTTTATTATTATTATTTTAAACCTAACACTAACTTAAGTATTTTTCTTTATTAACAAATATTATGGATGAAAGTATGTGAAATAAATGGATAATTATATTATTATTATTATTTATTTTTCAATGAACTGCAAAGTTTCGTTCACAGATTTGACCATTCGTTTATTTCTACTTCGAAATGCTAGTAATGTTCAAAGTTAATAAAGCATTCAATGTTCGATTTGCCTCATTCAATCCCGAAGTTTGTTCACAACTATAAGTCACACTTTCCAAGGTACTTACTTTCTACAGAGCGCCTGCAGCACACTGGTCTTCTCTCGCAAGCCACAGTAGGGCCCCACGTAAATCATTTTGTCGAGCCTCCCTGGCCTCAGTAACGACTGCTCCAGAAGGTCGGGTCGGTTCGTCGCGCCCATTATGAATACCATTGACGTTGTATCCGCATCTATGTTCAAATTACGAAAATTAAACTTACAAATGTAGAGTCATATCGATGGCTTAAGTGTCAACTGACGTAAGAGACATTTGGCTTGTTCCGTCCAGTGAAGTACAACTACCTTACATGTTTCTGCCGTCAAGCAGTGATGTGAGCATTACTGGCACTTGCCAACTTTATGTCTCTGGGTGACGGGCACAGTGGCGGTGCCCCTCAGATCTTTGTGATATAAAGTTTTGTTATGGACAGGCGTGTCTCTTATCACCAGGTGCACGACTTGTTCGTCCCGTCACTAGATATCATAAAAGAAACATACTAATTTAAAACTCAAATTAAAAACTTAACTGCCTCTGTGGCCGAACGGTTGCCATGACTGCCACGCAGAGGTCCCAGGTTCGATTTAGAAATATTTAAAAGGCCTACATTTATTTCTCTCGTGAGTTTGGGTGTATTTGTTTGGTTGTCTATGTTTATGTCCGTAGCACCCGCAACACAGAGTTTGCCTAGTGCGGGACTATGTTGAGTGTGTGCGTTTGTGCGTTAATTGACTGAAAAACGTTTTTAACAAAAAATATTTGCAACTTGCGTAATTTTGTATTGATAGGTATAGGGTTATGGAATGAAGAATCCATAGCAGCAGGTAGAAAATTTAACAAGTTATAAACATTTTTATTATAAAAAAAGTTTTTGCATGTCCTGTAAAGCATAATAATAATATATTTTCATGCAAAAATTACATTTTACGTAAACAATATGACGTAATTTTAGTATTATTGTTTATCATACTTTATTTTTCTCTTAAACTCTATAAATAATAAAGATATTCATTATATTTTTTTGTGAACTTACTATATTTTGTTATAATTATTAACACAAAGATCGGACTCAAATTGGCCCTGGTTTGGCACAGGTTGGAGTCCTGACAGGTCAAAGGATTTTTCTTAGTGTTGTTTCACATAGTTCATGTTCTTTTTATGACTTTCTGATTCATGGGGTAAAAGTACTTTTGACTTATGACAAGATGTGGATTTATTATACCAAGACGCGTGTTAAACAAAAAACGACGAAGTCTATTTTTATTCTATTTATTTTAATAGAGCTTCTCAAATACCTTCCCCGCTTGCAACACCGTCTAACTCGGCAAGGAGCTGGCTGACAACGCGGTCGCTGGCGCCGCCCGAGTCACCCGCCGCACCTCGCCGTGGCGCCAGCGCATCAAGTTCATCCAGAAATACTATGCACGGGGAAGATGCCCGCGCTGACTCGAATACTGAAAAGTTTTAATAGAGAAAAAGATTTGTTTCCCCTATTTACACATTTAGCAATTTGTCGGCTAAATTCAAACATCTAGCAACTCCGTTTTTAATTTGGTATATAATTGTGGATCTTTTTTAGTTATAATATAAAGGTATAATCATAGATAGACATACAATTATTTCTGGTAATTTCGTTTTTTTGTTGTGTCTACTGAAAAGTTCACATTAATGGAAGTATGAGGTTTACGAATATAACCGACCAATTGTTCTATTTATATCGTGCGGAGTACATTAATATATAATTTTATTTTTAAAAACGTAATAATCATCTTAGAATTAGTTGTAATTATATATAAAAATACACAATAAACTCTTTTTTTTACTATACCTAGTGACGGAACGAACAAGTCGTGTGTTTGATGTTAAGCGACACCCCTGTCCATAGCACTGGCAGTGCCACTCAGAGCTTTAAATCGCAAAGATCTGAGGGACACTGCCACTGCCTGTCACATAAGTTAAGAAGGCCCATGTGCCTGTAATTTCAACAGCACCCGTAATTCTCTAATTACTGCTTGGCGGCAGAAATAGGTAAGGTGGCAATACTTTCCTGGACGAACTCTTTCACAAGGAGCTCTACTGCTACTCTGCTCTACCCCTCCGATCTTTTCGTTTTAAACCTCTGAGTGGCACATTCACCAGGCCCGCGACTTGTTCGTCCCGTCACTTGGTGGTATAAAAAAAATCTCGCTCTTCCGCTCACTACTAAATCAAAATTGATATTGTAATGTTTCACCGGATTACAATGTTTCCATAATTCGCCTTTTCCGTTTTAAATTCTGCGAAACTAGAATGGAACCGAAATTTGAACTATAGACATAAACTATATATCCATAAACAAGGCAATGAGTTTGCAGTAATATTTGTACCTGGAGTGGAATAATTTCCCAAAAAATAATTGAATATCATGGTGGTGAAACATTCTGACATTCAATAAAACATTTAATTACATATTACCTTTTCTAACATTTTCCTCTGATTGACCAATGTACATATTAAGCAGTTCTGGGCCTTTGACGCTGAGGAAGCTGACGTTTAACTCCGTACTGACGGCCTTCGCCACTAGCGTCTTACCGCAACCCGGCGGGCCATACATTAGAATACCTATAATGAAAACGATGATTCATTTATTACTTATGTTTACTGCATTTGGATGACATATTCAGCCCTGCCTTAGGAAAACTAAGGCCTTTATTTTTTTAACTATTTATTTAGGGACTATGATCATTATTGAACATGTCAGCATAATTAGAAACGCAATATATCAAAAAAACCATTTAATAGAATCCAAACAGACAAAACAAAAGGTTTGGCGTTGCCTGTTTGGCCTGGTTGGTTGGTTATACCAATACAAGAGGACTGCTAATCGCGGTACAAGACAGCGTAGTCGAGTATTTCGTACTTATTGGTACACCAGCCAGATTGGTACAGCAGTATATGTCCAAATACCTATTTCAGTAACTAATGTACGATTTTGTGCCAATTGCAGTGGAGACTGCGGGGACTTGGGCTGCTGAGGCCAAGGAATTTGTGCGGGAGTTGGGCCGCCGGCTCCGAGAAAGGGGCTATGATCCACGCTCTGGATCTTACCTGGTGCAGCAGATTTCACTGGCCATCCAGCGCGGTAATGCGGCTAGTGTGATGGGGACGTTTGAGCCGGGTACGGTTCAGAGCGGTCCCTTTTAATTTTCGTTCCTATTTGGTTTTCATTACTTATATTATTAGTGTTTTTGATTGAATTTTTTTTTGTGTTTTATTTTAGATGTAATGTGACAATGATAATTAGAAATTTTTGTAACTAATTAGTTTTACATCGAAGAACTACAATTTGTCAAAGCTACTCTAATTTCTAGTAACAACAAACAAATCAACTAGATGGCGCTTATTGCACAGATTTTTGAAGATACTGCCGATTATTCGTTTAAACCGTATTTGACATTAAAAAAAACTTAGGTGCCAGAATCTCGAAAGTTATCAAAATGTAAGTGCATTGGTTATGACAAGGAGGGCAAAGTTGTAGTTAAGTTATTATAAGTCAAAGTCAAAGTATTATTATAGAAGATATAACTTATATATATAACTTATACTTTAAGTAGCAACAGTATACAGTAAGTTATAATTTAAACTGAAAAACACGACAACAGAAAAGTGTAATCGTTTCCATGTAGTACACCAAAATATTCAAGGCTTTTCTGGCAATACATTAGAAATAAGTCTTTTTTTTTGTTTTGTGTTACAGAACACTGGCTGAAAGACTACGAAGCAATTAACAACATAGAAAATTATGTAATAGTCAGTTCGTTCATAAGAAAGAGCTTAAGTAGAGGCGGATCCATGATTATTATTAAACGTGACTTAAAATTTAAAGAGCGTACGGATGTCACAGATCTTTCTATTGAACGAACTATTGCGATTTCATGTGTGTAATTGCATCAGTTTGTCATCTTATGTGTATACGGCCTGTATACACATAAGCCCTCTGCTTATTTTAACGAGTTTGAATTAATTATGGAAAATAGTTTAAAGCGGATTTTTCCAACCAAAAAAAAAAGTAGTAATATGTGGAGATTTCAATGTAAACCTGTTGGAAAATTGTTCTACTTCTGTAACACTCATTAATTTATTTTAAATTTTTAACTCGATTAATCTTTTCTTAGAACCAACTGTCATCACTGCCTTCTCTTCTACTTGTATCGATAACATCTTTTGTAACACAGACGCAGTGTCTAAATCAATAATAAATTGCTTAAGATCAGACCATAGTGGCCAATTGGCTTCTTTTAATTGTAAAATGAGAAAGAAGGTAAACCAATTTCTTTGTAGATTGATTACCACAGAACGAATCATTAGATTTCAAAATAATATCGGCAATAGTTTAAATTCCCTACCCCATACCGGAGGTTCCAAATACTTTATATAGCACGATATTTGGTTTAATTAAAAATGAATTTGATAATGTATTTAAATCGAAAACATTAACTTTCCGTAGAGAGACTAAATTCAACGACTGGGCAACAGTCGGTATTCATAAGAGTAGGTCTCGTTTGTATGAGCTGTATGCAATGAAAACTTATAATACTAATTCCAATTTCATACAATATGTTAGAAATTATTCAAAAATATTAAAAAAAACCTCTAGAAGGCCTCTAGAAGTGTCGGATAATAATTTGTGGTCAAAATTGGTTTTTCGCCATTTTCAAATATGGCCGCCATAGAAGCGTTCGTTGGCGGCAGAAAAAAAAATGCTTTGATCCCTTTGAAAATTGGCATGTGTGGCTCTCTAGGAATGCTTGATAATAATTTGTGATCAAAAATGGTTTTACGCCATTTTTTAATATGGCCGCCATTGAACAACTAATAAAAATGATCTCTAATTCAACTGAAAATCGATATGTGGGGATCTCTATAGGTGTTTGATAATAATTTGCGGTCAAAATTTATTTTTCGCCATTTTTCAATATGGCTGCCATACAAACTTTTTTGGCGGTAGATAAAAATTTCTTCTAATTCGACTGAAAATGGCATGGCTTCAATCACAATTTGGGGAAAAAATTTTGTTTCTGCCGTTTTTCGACATAGCCGTAATTTTTTATGTAAATGGCTATTGAAAATACTTGCTTTGCTCGGACTGAAAATTGGCACGAACAGATTTCTAAGATTGTTTGATAATAATTAGTGGTCATAATATATTTTTGCAATTTTTAAATATGGCCATTAAAGAGCTATTTCAATTTTTTTAAAACAAAGCCATAAGTGCCGAGGCCGGAGGCCGAGGTCCGCGGAGGGCGAAGCCCGAAGCGTCCGCACGCCATCAAATGGAGATAATATACGGAGACGTAGGTAATAGATTACGAGTACAAGATCTCACAATTGTAAAAATGTAAGGCATGCTTCCCGATGTAGTGGAAATGAGATACTTATTATAGCGTTATTGTATCTCAACCGTCACTATGTTAGATTTCATTTTCTTGAAAGCTATGCCAAAGAGAAGTATTTAGGGGGGAAAATGTCAAATTACTACGGAATTTCCTATACTATGTAGGTACTATGAATACCAAATCAACGATAACCCAGAATACTCAGACCAAAACCAACTTAGAAATGTTCGTTTCTTAAATTGGCATAAATTGGGAATCGACCTCCTCATCAAGCGCCCATAGTACTAACGGCTGTGCCACCGAAGAGCCAAAATCTCGTATCAACTAAAGTTATAGACTCAATTATTGATCTAATTTCTCCACATTTAGCTGTAGCTTTCAATAGGTGCGTTGACGAAGGTGTTTTTCCGGATTTAATGAAATACAGCCAGGTTATTGCCTTATTCAAAAGCGGCAGGAAAATTGATCCTAGCAACTATATCCCATTTCAATTTTACCAGCTTTAAGTAAAATATTCGAAAAGGTTATGCTGACTTAATTACTGTCTTATTTCGGTAGGAATCATATTTTTCATAGTGAACAATATGGGTTTACTAGTGGTAGATCGACTAGCGATGCGGGGGAAGCGTTACTAAAACTCTTTGATGGGAAAGGTCCCAGAACGCTATTGGTGTTTGTTGTGACCTCTCAAAGGCATTTGATTGCGTTGACCATATTACTCTTATTAGGAAGCTGGAACATTACGGTGTAAATGGCAAGGCGTCGGAACTTTTCTCGTCATATCTCAACGGTAGAATTCCGAAAGTAGACATAAATGGAGTGACTTCTTTGGGTTCTCCGGTAAAAATCGGTGTTCCGCAGAGCTCAATACTTGGACCTTTCTTATTTCTGTTTATTTATATTAATGATCTGCCATTCTTTGTTAAGGACCATTGTGAAATAGTATTGTTGCTGATGACACATCCTTGATTTTTAAAACAGACAGACATGACATTAACTATGACCGTATTAATATACCCTCTCTAAGGTAGTTTATTAGTTCAATGCTAACAATTTATGGCTTAATGCCAGGAAGACAAAATGTGTTAAATTTGAATTACCTAACGTAAAATCGTCTAGTCCAAGCATAGAAATAAACGGAGAAAAGTTAGACCTTGTTAAAAAAGCAATCTTCTTGGGAGTGACCTTAGACAGTAAACTTCAATGGTTTCCACAAATATCTTCCCTGGCTAGCAGATTAAGCTCCGCTGCATACGCAGTCCGCAGAATACGTGAGCTTACCGATGTTAGTACTGCTACACTAGTTTACTTGAATTACTTCCATAGTATAATGTCCCACAGGATTCTCATGTGGGGTAAAGCGGCAGATATTCAAACCATATTTGTATTGCAAAAACGAGCGATTCGTTCTGTGTACCGGCTAGGCTATCGGGTTTCTCTCAGAGAAAAGTTTAAGGAGACTGGTATCATGACTGTAGCATTACAGTACATTTACTCAAATATTTTATATGCCCGTAAAAATATACATAATTTCAATAAGAAAGAAGATATCCATAATATTAACCTTTGAGCTAAGTCCAAACTCATGGTACCACGATTTCGTTTAACCAAGGTAAACAACTCTTTTAAGGGGAACTGTATACGTTTTTACAATAAGATTCATTTATTGTAAAAACGTATACAGTTTTTTATCATTAACGTATGTTTTATCATTTCCTAAGTTTAAAAACTACATTAAAAATATTTTGATCGAATAGTCATATTACAAAATTGAAGACTACGTGTTAGATAAAGATGTATGAAAAGACGACACGGCTCCAGAATCCACACAAATTTGATTCAAATTGTATTCCATAGCATTTAAGTTTATTTTGAAAAAACCAATCCTTACAGAGTTTCTTGCTCGTTCTTCTCAGGGAGGTCAGCGTAGTGTACGAGCAGTAGCTTAAATGTGACGTTTTCAAGTGTAAATTTATTTTACCTATGGAATAAATGATCTTTGACTTTGAAAAAACTGTACAGAATTGGCACCATCTATCCATACTAGCAAGCGTTCATTTATAAATTAGTTTGTAACATACAATGCGATCTATTGACACGCAAATTTTTAGTAGCAGTAGAGCTCCTTGTGAAAAAGTTCTTCCAGGGAAGTACTGTCACCTTACCTACTTCTGCCGCCAAGCAGTAATGTCAGCATTACTGTGTTTCGGTTTTGAATGCTAAGGGTGCTGGTGAAATTACAGGCACATGGGACTTGTCAACTTATAGCTCAGGGTGACGGGCGCAGTGGCAGTGCCCCTCAGACCTTTGCGATTTAAAACTCTGGAGTGGCACTGCAACTGTTATGGACAGGCGTGTAGCTTACCTTATTATTTATAGTCACTTTATATAAACAAAAAAAAATATTTGTCAAAGTTCAGAAAACAATAATTGTAGCTCATGGTCGATATTTGAATAATATTACAAAGAAAAAACTGACTACTTATATATTTTCACATTAAAGATGAATTTGTTGATATCCACGGCGCCATCTAGATATAAGACGGAATTTTGACCTTTTTCAAAGTTACGACCTGCAATATGGAGATTAACAGTCCTCTTGCGTTAGTAGTTCGTGGTTATCTATTATATTCCTTTATTTATATACTACTATGTTATTTGTGTAAGTTACGAATTTCTCTGTGCTTATTGCAGATCTATATATATTGAGTCCATGTACTGTATCTATGTATCTGCTTTTTGGCCGTAGCACCACCTGAGAGAACTTATGAAAGCTTCTTCACTCAGCCAAGTACTTTTACAGCTACTAGAAGACTGACAGTGACGTCGCCAGATTAATTACAAAAATAATTTTTAATACGAGTAAGTATCAAGATGTTTTTGCTACCCTGATTTTTTTTAACTTCTGAGACATAACTATTAGAAACAGTGGTTTAAACAGTACGAAGCCAGAAAGACGAAATATCAAAGTCACCGGACTAGCGTCTCGCCGCTCTTCGGAGACCAGTCTCAGACGAGGAAGGAGCATTCTAATTTAGAGAATTGCCTGCCCTATGAGAACCCAGAGTCCATAAATTAACTCAGGCGACACTAACCATGACACTAACTAGAATCAATTTATATACATAATATTTATATAATATTAATACATTTAGTAAAGTACGTTTTCTATTGACTGCATAGATTCTACCGAAAATTCAAACTATAGAATATTATTACTTATATATTTTTATAAGAAGCAGGTAACTTAGGTTTATTAACGGTAACTTAGGATTCATCATTGGTGGCATCGACGTTTTTTTTTGCCAGATAAACAAACGTACCTGATCTCTTCAAAGTGGAATTCTTGAACAGATGTGGATATTTGATGGGGAACTCAATAGTTTTTAGTAACTCCTTTTTCAACTTGTCCAAGCCTCCTATGTCTTCCCAGTACACTTTAGGAATCTTTGGAGCGTCCAAATGTTGACTTCGTAGAGATCTGATAGATTCTGAAAAAGGTCGAGACAAATACTAAGAATCATTCCTTACTTCTAATTATAAATTCTATGGTCTTCCTTTTCGTTTCCTAAACAACACTGTTTGGACGAAAACTAATCCAATGGATCCATTTTTATAAATTACACAAAGTCGTCCCGAACATATAACTACATATCAATTACGTAGCTAAAGGTAAGTACATCGTGTTATTTGTTAGAGTGTATCTACAGAACAAAGGATATCTATCTATTGTCTGAAAAATTTGTTTTAAACTGGCTTCAAAAAAGGAGGAGGAGGTTGTCAATTAATTTGTTTTTTTGTGTGTGTATATTACGTGATTACTGCGATCATCCGACATTTGTCAACCGATTTCGATCAATCTTTTTTGTTAGAATAGTCATTTCAAATTTCAAGAACATATTCCACCTCTAAGAGTAATACCGGATTCATTACCTAATTAAGGGGGTGAATAAGATTGATTGAATTTCATCCACTTTCCGTTAACCGATATCAATAAAATTCGGCAAATAAAACGGCAGACAGATGAGAGGAACTCCTCAACACTGTATAGTAGCTACCTAGGGTTTCCTCATATGATACGTTTGACGAGGACTTCCATATGCGTTTCAGTTACCGTTGAGGAGACCGCGCAAACGAACACAGCAAAAGCGGATAAGCAAACTATGAGGTCGGTTTTTTTAATTAAATTATAATTATTTGAGAGGTATCGTTACCATATTACTTTGTTACTGCACCCTGTTAGTAATTATTTGTCACTTTTGTTAAAATGAAGTTAAAAGAGATTATAATTATAAATACCTAAAGCAGAATTAAAATCTTCTTCCTTAACCAACTGCAAATTAGGATCTGTCTGCAGTCGATTGTGCTGTTTCAAATAAGACTCACGCATCGCAAAATGGACCAAAGTATCTAAATCTCCATATAAAAATGTTTCTGTTTTCGCTGCTACTCTTTGTAAAACTTCTTTCGTATTTTCACTTAATTCGTCTCTACATTTATTTTTGTCTACTTCTTCATCGATATTCAGTTGCATGACTTCGGCAAACCATTCCAGCACTTGATGTCTTTGGTGGACATTCAATTTTGGTATATGGAATTTTTCAAGAAATATCCTTAGTATATTTGGTTTCAAATCTGTTCTTTCTGTAACTGCGATGAAGAAGATTTGGTGTTTCGTATAGTTCTGATAGAGATCGGTTATTGTGTTCAGAAAGTATTCAATTAATCTGCAGTCTTCATTGTTTTCTGGGTCTACCGCAAACACCTACAACAATGCATAAAATATACAAAGATGAGGAAAACGTAACACCCCTGTCCGTAACAGTTGCAGTGCCACTCAGAACTTTAAACCGCAAAGATCTCAGGGGCACTGCCACAGCGCCCATCACCCAAAGACATAAGTTGACAAGTCTTATCCATCAAAATCGGAATGTATTAATGCTTAAGTGTACTTAGAGTACTTCCCTGGACGAAATCTTTCACAAGGAGCTCTACTTATCGAGTTCTTAGGTTTTCGCGATTGTTACACATAGGAAATGAAACTATTTTTCCGGAAGTACATTTTTCAAGGAATAAATATCTTTGTATTCTTGTATTCTGTATTCTTAAAAAATTTACATTCAACCACTTAGTGACAATATCAAAACCATGCTGAGCATGGTGGAATCCTTCTTACCAACTTTTATCCCTAAATATGAGAGCGGTATCGTCCGCAAAATAAATTATGCGCCCATTGGGTTCCAATTTTCACAGTTCATTCATATAAACTACGAAGAGGGTAGGTCCTAAAATACTACCATGTGGGATGTCGTATGAGACAGATAGAACATCATTGATAACGTTTCCGGTTTTAACACATTGTGATCTAATGCTCAAAAAGTTATTGAATAGTTTACACTGCATGCCTCTGACACCAAATCGTTCCAATTTCCCTATCAAAAGTGTGATAGAGATTGTGTCGAAAGCCGTTGCCAAATCCAGGAAGCAAATCTCGCGCGTCGAGTTTTTTTATATACATAATCTATGAGCTCAATACAGTCAAATACAAAATTATTTAAAAGCCAAACAAAATCAAAAATACATCAGACAATCCATAAATTTATAGCAGAGGCTCCATGTTGTACACTGACTTCAGTAAAAGTGCCAAATATTACATACCTCGAAATTATTCAAAAGTACTATAACAGGAGCAGCAGCTTTTGCTTTCTGTATGGTTGCATTTATCTTGCTTTCTGTCTGCTTGGCTGTGGAACTCTGCATGGCATTGCAGTCAATTTGCAAGCAGTTCATTCCTGTTCATAATAAGACTTGTAATAATTTGAAAATGTCAACTTTAGAGTAACTGTCTAATCTTAAATTAATTCAACTGTAAGGCTTAATAACATGACTAGTATGGAAAAATTGTACCATCTCAACTTTGCGGCCATGGGAAAACTATTGTTGTTTAAATCAGACTTTAGCAAATTTTGTATCTATAGACTCAACAACTTTAATACCATTCTACCGTGCTGGAATGGGGGGTGCAACGGCATGAGCCTATAGCTCATCTTTTAAAATAAAAATAGCACTAGTTTCTAAAAATCTGTTTGTTTTTTACTGATCACTATGGACCAAGTGTCTGAAATAACTCATAATTATTTAATTCACACACATTCTCAATATCTATGGTAATAAATAGGCTAGCTTGAGCAATGAATGACAAAGAGTGATATGGGGTGAACACCTTGTGTTAAAAAATATGTGAATAGGCACCAATCATTTCTATGCTTCAAGCCACTGTTTATGCTTTGTGGTAACTAGACGGTTGTCAGATACATTCAATGTTTTTATACTCAAAATCTAGCATATATTTACATAGAAGTAAGATTACTATGTACATTACATACCATTGTATTTAGCCAAAGTCTTGACAAGTAAATGTCGTCCGGAGCCTGTAGAACCTGTGAGTAGCAGCATTGGAGTTATTGGGCTGGTCATTGATGAAGACAAATCGTCTACAAAATAAAATCAGAACATTAAAAACAAGTGCATAAGTTATACTTAATAAAGAAAACGTAAAGTCAATTTTGTATTAATACCATACAAATGCAAAAGAATGTTAAAAACAATAATCAATTGTAAATACTACATCTTACTTATTTCTCCAGTCAAGAAAGGACTTATGGTTTCTTGGATTTGATCAAACTTCTCTTTTAGTCCAGTAGGACATAATTGGCATAAACACATACTCTTCTTGTCAAAGTCTTGGGGTTTAAAATACTCATCCTTAGGTTTTAGAGTGTGGATATTCTCTCCTAAAGTCAACTGTGTAACACACTTTACAATAAAAAATGGCTGTACAATCTTTTCACTGTTTTCGTTTGCTATTATTGAATTGACATCATTAGTCATCTTTGTACATTTAAAATAAAGCTTTCCAGCTGAATCTACTAAGTCTAAATATTTATAGTGATACTTAGCAGTCACCTTTGGAGTAAGATCTATACTGAAGACGTCATTTACATTCACTAATTTTGGGGTCTCAAAGTAATTATTCAAAACTTCCTTAACAAAATCATTTGACAAGTCATATTCATTTACAATAAGGCTCACTTCTGCTGTTGCTGCAATTTTAGGTGACTTCTCTATAGTTGGTACAGGGTGAAATGAAACTGTAATATCCTGACAGTTGTTTAAGCCATAGGAAGACATTATGTTATAAAAGTTGTTTTCCATTGTTAATGCAATATCATCCTCTGCTAATTTTGATCCAACAACAGGAACTATCTTTATATTATCAAGATTATTTGAGCTGTCGTTATTCCATAACTTTTTATGAATTTCAGTAGTCATAAACCCAAGATTATACTTTAATAAGCTGTTTTGTTTAGGAATTTCCTTTGATTTTTTGCATTTTTTCTTTATTTCAGGTGTTAATTTCATCGCCAGCCATAAGACTCCATTGTCTAGGTAAAACAAGTTTTCTGCACACAGCTGAATGTATTGTTCTCTAGATATAATAATACATTTGTGAAGAAGAACAGGTAAGTTATCATCCAAGTGTTCCTGCACGATTTG